CGAACTTTCTTGTCAACTCGATAAAAAATGGCGGATACGGCGGGGCAACTCTCTACATATAGGGACTCTACATATACCTACTTATACTAAAGGATTAGGTATTGAATCTACTCTACATTGCAGGACAGTGCAGTGCAATGAAGGAATGCGACATTTATGCCCATGTTTTCAAAACTTCGATGTTTTGATAAAATCATATATGTATTTAACAACGGTTTTATGACGTGTTTTTTAACGTGGTCGATAATATTGGAATGAAAAAAAGTAAAATCTTAACAAAATTCGATATTACTTTTTAGATATCTATAAACCGAATATTCTTCAGACTAAAGTGACCAAGGACGAAAAATGAAGAAAGACGAGTTTTCGCCCTTAAAGACGCTTATATTATTTTTGAATTGTCGAATCACATAATCCAAGTTTTGTTCATTGTCTTGATAATTTTTTGATTTTATTTTGCCTGTAAAATCGCAATTAAAAATATTAATAAACGAGACCACTTTCAAATTCAATCCCCTGTGTGTGAACTTCGATGTTTACTTATCAAGTTTTAAAACCCATCATTGTTAATAAACATCGATGATGTTTGGTCGTTTTTTATTAACGTCGATGTTTTATTAACATCGATTTGAGCAGCCACGCATAGAAAGATCAATGTTGCGTTAGCTATGTTGCTTCCCTAGAGCAAAGAATGATGGTAAGAGATAGGAGAGTTCACCGTTTCGACTTCAGCCAACGAGATTCAGGCACCAGTTTGAGTATATTAACGGAAATTTTAAATGCAATATGATACCAAAATTATCTTGTTAAACGTCAATGAAACAGATATGAAGCTTTATTTTAATATTGCATTTTATTTCAATTTCACCTTCATAGTGTTACTTTCTGCTAAAAAATATCATTTTATGCCACTTTTAAAAGGTTTCTCAACACTTCCCGTCCTCCATGCAACATGGCGGCCACCGTCCGGTCTGGCTTTTCAAACGAAGGGCCCATGTTATCACGTGTGAATCGTGACGCATAACGAGCAAAAGATACATGCGCCGGACAACCTCACCCTTCTCTTTCTCCACGGAATAGAGGAATCCGCCTCAGATTGAGCCAAAATGACAGTTCGCGAAACAAGTGAACATCACATGAAATTCAGAAAAGTATCCCTCCGCCACCACTGCTGTTCAGCCACGCCTCTACGTAAAGCGTCTATGTTTGTACATGGCTCCCGTGAAGACATCATGGCCTCTCATAGTTCACAACCGTGTATCTATATAAAAAATGATACAATGTTAACCACAGAACGTTCTCGATCCCAGCTCGCCACTTTACCGCACGGGAGAAGGAAACTCGTGCGCTATTACGCGTCTGACATTCAAGACTTGGTTTTCTAATAAACATAATACTTATCACATAAAAAGTAAATCCAATGTAATGTTCAAATTTTTAAAAAAATGTAGAAGAGCACGGCAGTACTGCACTTCCTAATTTCAATTATTTCTCATGGAGAACTATATTTACGGATGAGGACATCACAAAAGGAATATTCGAAGCCATTTATAAGCTAGCCAACTGCAAACGAACGAATGAAGGTAGGAGAGTCAAAAGGGCTGAAGGACACAACGACCACAGAACCTTCAGTTATGTTGCCAGCACTAGCTGTCAAAACGATCCATTCCTATAAAAATCGCTGTGTACAGTGCAACGTCTCACCGAGGTGGTGTTGAAGTCGAGCGCCAGGCGGCGGCACATGTCCTTGGTGAAGATGTAGAGGCGCTGGCGCTCTTGCACGAGGCGTGGCGGGAACATGGAGCCGTCGCTGCCGTCGACGCGGCTGCAGTCGGTGTCTCCCCAGGCGTCGAGGCGGTCGCTGCCGCCCACGTCCACGATGAGGCCCAGACGGTCCACGTCGCGAGCGCCCGTCTCCACCGTCACGGCGTTGCGCGTCACCCCCGCGCGCTAAGAAATTAACGGTTTATTTAATTATTTATTGAACGTAAAAAAAAAAAAAATCTCAAAAACTGTGTGTGACATACTATGGTGAGAAGTGTATTCTGCGTCACCCCCGCGTGTTAAGGGAAATCACAAATTAAGAGTTTATTCAATTATTCATTTAACGTCAAAAAAAAAAAAAAAAAACTGTCAAAGCCGGGAACATCAATTGAATGAAGTCAGAACCGTTTTCTGAAACAAAAATTTGAGATGGGGCGGCTGGGTATATAAATTCGACGCTGCGTTTTAAGTGACAGTTTATACTCATCCAATAGAATTGTTTCTCGAGTTCAATTTTGTTTTATTGTACTATTTTGAGGGATGCAGAAATTTAATTACTTTTCATAATTTTCACAATTTGCGTTCTTTCAAGTTTTCTTTTATAAAATATTGCAATTAATAAAGATTTGAAAAGGCGTTCCAGTAACTATTTATTAAGAAGAAATGAGAGCTAACCCACCATTCAGTTTTGTTATTTTATTACTTTGTAATTGATATTAAAATAAAGGAATATTATTTTAGGCAGTAAGGTCCAATAATCGAAGAAATTTGGAAATGTTTGAGATATATTGGCAAATACGGTGGTTAATAATTTTAAATAATTGAAGTTCATGAATATTACAGTTGAACTGTTAACAAACTACCATTCTGAACAATATTTGCGTGTGCAATGTAAAGCGTGAACAAGTTTCAAGTCAATTCGATTTTTTGAGCAAGGCACACGCATTCTTAATTACGCCATTACGGGAGTATGTGGATGGGAGGAGGGTAGGGTTGCCTGATAAAGCGGGTTATGTCCTGAATGTCGACATACCCTCCTGTTCTTCAAGTATTTTCTTTATTTTTGCCAAATGTCTTAATTCTTTATCAGTGCCTGACTTTTACTTACGTACGCCCTAGGCTGTCAAATGTTTTAGCGCCCTTTTTTATTTGCTTTTTTTAAAAAAAACATTAAAGCTATTGATATTTTGAATAAAAATGTACAATATTTGTAGCCGATGCAAATATTGTGTGTGTGTGTTTTTTTTTGTTTTTTTTTCGTTTTTGCAATACAATCTGAGAGCTGAAAAATAGATAAAGAAAAGTAGTGGGCTGTTTGAATCTATGTACATCTGTCTCTCTTACAACATGTTAGTGCAAGAGAATCGGGAATGCAAAGAGGAAAGGGATCGGTCAAAATTGTTTTAATATTGACCAAAGTCTTGCTTTATTAAAATGTTTTAGATATTTTATTTAAATACCCTAAAACAGTTCAGAAAATTTTGTCATGGAAAAATGAGGAAATGATTTGGATAACCTGGAAATGTCAGGAAAATTCGCCCTAGAAAGAGTGCACACCCTGTTATTCTTTATTTTGATCTACATAGCTGTTTACTCGATGCGTTATTTCCTTGTTATACGATTTACTTAATTTACTACTTAGCTGTATAAAAATTAAGGATGTCCCAATTTTCATTGTTATCTTTATGGCCACTCTATTTATGAAGATAAACGTGTGCGAAATAGGATGATTTTAAATAGTAGATGTTCATAAATATTACTGTTTAACTGTTGTAAAATTAACATTTTGAACAACATTTGAAACTGTGAACAAGTTTCAAGTCAAACTGATTTTTTTCGCCGAGAACAACGCATTATTCATTACGCCATTACGGGAGTGCGCGGATGGAAAGATGGGAGTCGGAAGAACGGCGACGGTGGCGCGCGCGGTGGCATCGCGGGTGACTGAGTGGTGGGCGCGCCGTGCAGTGATTCACGGCCACGCGAAGAGCCGTGCAAGGCCGCGTCGGCGAGGAGGCGTCCAGACAAAAGGCTGCTGGAGCTGCACCCGGTCATTGGAGCCAATTGTTGGCAGGCGCTGGCAATGGCACGAACCCTCGTGATGGGTACTCGTGTACTGAAGACTACATAGTTTTTTCTCCGCGAACGCACGCGTCATCGTTCACGCGACGGACTTGACAATGCCCGAGTTGTCGGTGGGAGGAGGAGCACTGGCCAGGGTCGCTCCGTGATTTGTCGCATCACCGAAACTAATTGTGTTAGGGCAAATTGCACTTCTGTAATAGAGATGGTTGAGAGTGCGTTGATTTATACCTAATTTTGCTGCCGGGCTCTTTTTTTTAAATACAGTCTGGCGCAAAAATATCCTCAGCAAGTAAATTGACGTACTATTTTAAATTCAAAGAAAGTGATCAAATTTTACATTAAATAGTCTTGATCTCGAATTATAGTTAGTTCAGTTTTGTTTTAAACAAAAGGTAACACAAAAGGCACAAAGTTTATCTCGTTGATGTCATTTAAAGTATTTCGTTCAAAGAATAATTCTGTAAACGGAATGCTTTAAATGACAAATAGGCTAATGAATTATTCAATCTCGAAGATTGTAGTTGCATTTCATATTTTTCAGTAAGACGCTGTGTCAATTAACATATATTTGTAGATGAGGTAAACTGAGGGTTATGTTAATAAATAAAATAACAACTTCTTTAGATAGTATTCTAAAGGATATAATCGTCCACAAAAAGTTTAATAATTTTATTAATTATTACCCAGAGTTAACTTTCGGGAAACACTTTTCCCATCCTCAGTGGGTCTCTAGCAAGGAGGAGAAAATTGAAACATTAACATAAGTTGAGCGAAAAGAAATTCAGTGAATTTTGTGGAAAAAAAAACAACAACAAACAAATAATATCAAATAAATGAAATTGAAAATACTGCCCAAGCAACGTGGATCATTCATAAATGTTCACAACATGGGCGGAAAATATGGAAACTGCAAACATGCTGGGTAGAGTTAGGTGGCAGCCATCTTTTGGAATGGAAGAAGAGGAAGCCTACCAATACCTACTATAATTATAAACTACTAGCTAATAAAATTATTAAAATTTTTGTGGAGCTTTTATAAAGGGGTACATTTATATTGACATTCGTTTTTTGATTGTGGGGGATATTTTCTTGACAAATTTGAAATCTTTTGGCTCTTAAGATATACATTAGTATTAATGAGCATTACTTACCGCTTCAAGAATTCCTAACTTTAGGCTCTCTGGATCAATGTTCACAACCGAAAAGGCCTTGGCAAGTTGAGTAAGAGTTTCTTTGTAACCCCATAAGAACTCTTGAGCAGAGAACCGTAAGAAGGGAGGTGGATTTACCGAATTCAGAGCCATTGACATGGCCATCTGCTTCATGAAACTAGAGTCTCGTAAGACGGACACTGCACTCTGAAAGAAAAAAAAAACAAACATTAAACACATCCATAAAATTATTTTCAAATAATTCTTGAAAAATATACAGAAGGGTCCAAAAAAGGATTCACTCGGTCAGCAGTCCGTCTGCAGTAGCAACAGCACCATCGAATTAATTTAACTACTAATGGGAGTCGCTTTTAAAACACGTAATCGTAAGATCATGTAACAAAACATTCAAGTGAAATAGCAAGCAAGAATCACAGCCGTATGTCACTCCGTACATAATATATTAATGTCAAAGAGAATTGAATTGAATTAATGCCTTATTTTACGTGGCGAGACTCACGCCATGAGGCCTGCTGTTTCACTGACCACGCAAATTTTGCTACGCTCCTTTCACCAACTAGCAGAGAAAGGAGATATTTCTTGGGCGAGAAACAGGCGATTTGAATTGAGCTCAGAGGCGTCATTTAGGCGTGAGGATCTTTTACAAGCAAGTAAATCTACTAACACGGGACAGCCGGCTCTACTTCCCCTCCTAAGGAACGCGTAGGAAGGATTTTTTCGCCCTTAAAAATCCACGGCTTCGGTCGGATCCGGAAAGCTAACCGTTACACCATCGCCGCCAAGAGTAGACATTTATTAGGAGCTCTCTGTAGTGTCCCTGTAAAATGCCTCCAAAGGGGAGAACCCATGGGTAGAGGCATGAGAGTTTCGTATTAAGGATAGAACTGACAAATATTAGATAAAAACAATTTCATTGTCGAATTGGGAGTCAAAATAGAATTAATATTCTTCACGAATTATCGCGACGGGTTATCGGGTTCGAATTATATAAAAAGGCATGGGGCCTGAGACGTAACATTTTCTCTTCACTCGCCTTAATTATTCATACAAATAATTATGGTCATCAAAAAGATCGGATTAACATATATTTACATTAAATATTTTGAATAATATCTCTCCTATAGAGTATAACATCGGTTTTTGAATTCCAGCATTATGAATTCGTTTTCGTTACTAGATATCGTTCATAGAAAGAATCTTACGGTACAGATTATGACGTATTTGTCGTTTATGGCACGAATAATTGCGTCGTCACACATTCACCGCAATCGCAGCAAGAGAATCGTGGAAAGCTAGCGGTAAACGGGTTTTCCCACTGAAGTCACAATAAAGTTGTTTCTTTAAAGATGTTCATTATGATTTTTTAATAAAAATGTATAATGCTGTTATACAAAGCTGTTTTATAATATAATATATATTAATGTTATATAATGCTGGTTTATACTGTTCCTTTATTGCATTCCTACAAATGTATACATGTATGCAATGAAGCTTAACCTTAATCTGGTTGTACTATCTTAGACTCATTCATTCCCATAAATTTAAAGCGCAATACAAATACACTTACCAAGAAAGGGACATTGGGTAGCACCACTATATCATCTTCAAAGCCAACCGACCGCTGCGGTTGGAACACGAAGGTGGTGTGCTCTCGGTAGGTGACGGTGCTGTTGTCGTTGAACACCACCGCAGTTTTCTCAGTTTCCTGCCTGCATGAAAGAGAATGGAAGTTGCATCAAAGTTCGTACCTTGTGTGTTTTGTTCTGGATATTTGCCTTTTGGATGATTTCTGCTGTTAAGAAATGTTGATAATGATGATGAAAACTAATGCTCATTTGTTTTATAGAAAACTAGCGGCACTGCTACAGCACATACTTTTTCGCATTATTAACGGTTACGTAATATTACAATTTCAATCCACAATATACAATAATCTAGCAATAATTAACAATAATAATAACAACAGTAATTAAACAAAAAATACATTTATGTTTACTACAATAGGAATGCAAAAATTACATCTATTTTGGCTAAATTAGGGGGTAAAAACACTGGAAACGTTGGAAACTTACCCTTTAAGTAATTATTGTAAAGAAATTAATAATTAAAGTGATTCGCGTTTTTATTCTAACTTTAAAATTTGCATTAGAAGTCACGTAGAAGGAAACTTTATTTTCTTTGTAATCTTGATTGCACGTGACCATCTGGAATGATGGCTACGAATTTACTTTACTGGCGACGCTGTCTGCACGAAATGTTGTTGCGACTCCCTTTAAATCTTGAGATTGTATCAGTGAAACCGGAATTATACATTTCGCTTTTCGCACTTGTGTAATCGCCAGAAGGGAATAGAGAACAAGAAGAAACTGAGAAGGGTGTACAGTGCAGATAGCTGTGTCGTTAAGAGATCAGAGGCAATGCACAAAAATAGGATGAGTTGAGGAACACAACACATGCACAAAAATAGGATGATAGAGAGCGTCAGCATCAACGAAAAATATCAAAAATCTTCACTGGTATCATCTTCATTTCCCTTTTAGATTTTTAACACAACATGACACTTGAGCCTCCGCGTCCACAGAAAGACCATACACAACTGTGCTTTCACGTTGTCCAGGCTTGCAGGTATGTTTCGAGAGTGATAGAGATCGGTGACAGTGATAGAGAGAGAGATGGATCAGAGAAACCGGGTGACAGTAATAAGAGATCGTAGCCGAAAGGGGGAAAGGGAAAATAATGAACGAAAACGCAAATACAACAGGCAAATAAAATGCCCGTAAAAAAAATAAAAAAAATTTGGCCAAAAAATAAGCAAAAAAAAGGGTCCAAAAAAAATTTGGAAAAAAAAAAAAATCTTTTTTTTACCAAAAAACCAAACCTTCCCTTTAAAAAGTTTCTTTTTTTTTTTGGGGGTCCCCCCCCCTAAATTTTTTGGGTTTAAAAAAAGTCATAACAAAATTGTAACCTACAATGAAAAAGACATTTTTTGTCCAATACTTTCCCAAAGACTCCTTAA